GGATGCTCAGTGCAGGCAAACTTGCATGTACAAGATGAGCACTACCAAAAAAAAAAAAAAATCCACCAACAAACTTTTAAAAAATAACTGAATTTACCCTTTCCTCCAACTTAGGGAGTTTACTTTTAATTTTAAATTCTGCAGCCAAGATATTATTTAAAAATTTAAGGCAAGTAACCATCTGCCATAAATGATAGAAAGGGAATATAAATAAAATAGTGCTTGTAGTATTCCAATGGAAATCACATGCCAAACGCTTCCACAGCCGAGGCAGCAGCAATACTTTCAGATGTCAGGAACAAAGGCAGAGAAAGGAGTTACTTTGGCCAGGACATGTTTTGCTGTGCATGGTGTCTCTTCTTGGCTGCCCTGAAAGACAATATTATTAAGCAATTTGGGCTGGAGCGTCATTATGCCCCATGAAGAATTTAAGGAAGATCTTGACTTGAGCGTGCTGCAAGAGGAGTCCTGCTGTGCTATTTGGTATAAAAGGATAATCAGTCTTATGCCACTGGCACACTGGAACACCTAATGGGATATGCTGGGCATCGATGTTCAAGGTTTTATATAAGGTAACAGCTGCCTTGGTCAGGCAGTTAATTAAATGTGTTAATTTTCCATACAGGCAGCAGTAGTGACAACAGATCCGAGTGGGATTTTATGACATTTCGGGGTTCCCTTATGTGATCACAGCGATGGATCGCACCCACATCATCTTTCACATCCCTGCCTTCCCCCTTTGGACATGGGGAAATTTGGAAATTCACTCCCTGACTCTATGAATATTAGAGCATTGGTAATGCTCTGGTACCACTTACTGCATATTGCCAGTTGTCCCAACTCCAGTCTTGAAAAGCTGTTTGGGCTTATTCCCACACTGATATTGGTTTAGTCAGAGACGCAGCAATTCATTTACAAGGCAAAAGTGCTTTTTATTTTCTCCCTCTATCTTACATTCCTTATTAGAAATGTTCAATGAGCAGATATGTAGCCTGGAAATAAAGCAGTGTGATATTTTTGAATAGATAGTGTGTTCTTCAGATGTAGAATTACAGAAAATTATCTCCTCGTTCTTGATAGTTTGCCTTGTACAACATTGCAGGATGACAAATTCAACCTTTCCTGTACATTATTACTTTCATAACATGATAATAACTCAAATGCATCAAGAAAGAGAAGGTAAATGGGGACAATTCGTGAAAAGGACTAGGAGAACATATTTAGGAGTAATGGTCTGACAAATATGCAGACTGAATAATATAAATGAACTGAACAAGTTTCCTCCCCACCAACTGGATAATACAGTGTGAAGGAAAGTGGAAGAAATGCAAAATGCCAAGTTAGGCATGTGAGGACTGACCAAAAAATGAGTCACACTCCCACGCTTTTGGCTCACAATTCGAAATATTTGTTTTTACTTGATTGGGTAGCCACTAAAAGTATATGGCGAACTTTGTTCGAATTTGATCTGTCACTTTTTTTTGATGGGTGACAATGATTTTATGACATATGTCACACTGTGTCACATCACTCACAACACATCAAGTCATGCTCTATCCCATCATTTCTGAAGGCAATAATGCCACTCAACACGACGTGACGTGACGAGATGTAACGCAACTCAGCGGCTGAAAAAATCACGGGAAACTTCTGTAGGTGTGGCATGGAACCCATAAATTACACTGGAATGAGCCTTGGGAAGATCCCAGGAGCTGAGTGTGCAAAATGGGGCAGCTGGGTGACTTCTGTCTTTGTGAAGGTGGGCTCTGAGTTACTCAGTGTAGAGAGGCAGTGAGTAGTTACTCTGTTCATGGTGGGAGTCTCTTGTTAGCCTAAAAGTGAGTTCTTCAAGAAGAAACTTGCTGGAAAGATGAGTTTTATGCCTGAAATGTGACAAGACTGGAACTGTCTCTGACCTGAAAGGCTGCATGTCTTTAAGTGTTTTAGAGCTTTTAAACTTTCTGAAACCTCAGGGGATGTCCTAAGCATAAACATCTCTTTAAGCCAGGATTTAGCTGGATGTGGTCTTCTAATATATTTCAAACAAAGATGGCTGCAATATTTACGAGTTCTGCCCTAGTTTTCTAACAATTATCTCCTTTCCTGTGTTATCTCCTTTCCAGTGTTTGTGTTGTATACGGTGTCTTATCTGTTTTTATTGACTGCAGCAAACTATTCCCATGTGCACACAAAAAGACCCCCCAGCTATATCAACTGCAGGATATTTCCATTTAAACCCACCACTTAAGCACAGAATTTTTGAAGATTTCACTGGAAAAACATGAATTCCTTAGCTGAAAGGATTGCACCAGAGAAGTTTTTCATGTAGGTCAAACTTCTTTAGTCATGTGCATAACCAAAGATCAGGTTCTTGCTAACCCAAAGCTACACATGGCTCATCAGTCCCATTATTCATTAGGTTTCTTGCACTGTTTGGTCAGTGGAGCCTCTGAACACAGTTTATCTGCATATTGCCAAATCCAGGATGGAAGTCCCATCCCTGGAAGTGTCCAAGGCCAGGCTGGATGGGGCTTGGAGCAACCTGAGATAGCTGAAGGTGTCCCAGCCCATGGAAGGGGGTTGGAACAAAACAGTCTCACTCTTAAGCTGGTGAGTACTGACATGATGTCCAGAGACTGCTTGTGGCTCTGAAGTCAAACAGAAAGATGGGTTTAGCTTTCTGAGCTTTTGCACCACCCTCTTTTCTTGATTTCTTGTTAATGAGCTTCTTGTATATCCTTTACTCTCCTTCAGGTGTGATTTTCCCTATTAATTAGCTTGGAAATCATCCTAGATATCTGGAGTTTTCATTATGCTCCAGGGCAGATGAGACCTGAGCTGAGTAACACCCAACCCCCTCCCTTTCCTTGGTGACATTTTCCCATCGGGTTAAAAAAAAAGAAAAATCTCCTGCAGTTCTCTACCTTTCTTTTCAAAATGCTGCTAAGTAATTTACAGGCTGAAATCTTGAGATTCTTCCACCTTTCCTGCACACACCAACGAAGAACTCATGTAAATTCTCACTTTATTACCACACCTGTTAGAAATCACTGCTGCAACTTAGGTGTGAAAAAATGTGGCTGTCCTATACCTAGTCAGGAATCCATCCCAGGCTCGGTGTAAGTGCATCACCACTGCTATAAAACAGACACAACTACTTTGGTGACATTCACTGTTACTGTACGTTGACAAGTTCCCATTTAATTTACTACATATGGTTCCATGTCTCCATAGCTACTCTCGTGAATTCATTATTCATTAAATAAGTGATGAATTTACTTAAATATTGCGGCCACATGGCGGACACAAATGCATTCTAATATTATTAACACGTTGCCAACTTGCAACTCTTCGAAGTCTGAGTAAATGTTTTGACAAGAAGAGGCAGCAAGAACAAATAAGTAGTAGCAGCCTAGATGAAGTTCAGCCATAGTTCTAACAGCTTTAAAGTCTTAACAGTGTTTTCACTGGGGCAGTACCAGATAAATTGCTCTTATGTGTGCATACAAGAGACTAAAATTCCTTTGAAAGTTTATAATTTCTCATGGGAAAACACAACATAAAAGTTACTTTTACTCATAGAAAAACAACACCATATTTTCCTGTCAACCTTTGCTGTTGGGAATTTCAAACTTTTTGCATTTTTTCCCTGTGATTCTTTTTTGACCCAAGGGATAGGCATTTACAACATAATTTACTTTCAGCGTGTCTCTGTAAATCATTGTAATACTATCTATGGTTAGTGGGAAAAAAAAAAAAAAAAAGCAGGACTCTCCAGTAGGACCGACAAACCACTTTTCCAGGACCTCAGTAGCAAAGAAAAACTCCCCCATTTCAGCAGGGCAACAGTGACATGGTGATATACACAAAATAAATGTATGTTATGAGGGCTTTTATATGAATTTTTTGTGTTTGGATGTAGTAATATTTGTCGGGAAATATCTATTGAACTGTGTTTTCTTGCAGCAAAATATTCAGAATGTGTGGAGTATAAAACATATCTTGGTGGGAGAATTCTGGTGCAAAAAGAAAACCACTTATATTTCTTTTCTGGAAATGTCAATATGTTTTTTCCTGCTGTCCTTAAGGCCTGTTGTTGTGACTGTTGTCGTACAGGCTTAACAGTGTTGTCAGAGGTGAGGTGCTTTAAGCACAGGCTGCCATAAAAAAAAAGCTGGAAACCTGTAGAGCCTTTCAGCCTCACTTTTTGAGACTGCTGCTAATATCAAGGCTCATTCAGTTTTACATTAGAACTTGATGACTTGCACATTGGTTGAACCTTCACCTTTCACAACCTTAATGGGGATTTATTAGCTATTTCACAGTGTGTAAATTTGAATCTAGGTCAGATGAGGAAGAAAAATAGGGCAAATCTGGGCCTTAAGTATAACCTGCATATAATATATCAGGATAAAAAAAAAGGTGCAAAATTAAACAGATGATTAAAAGTGTCTAGAGCAGGCAGAGTTTGAAAAAAGAGCTTGATAAATTAGGGGTGTATGTAGGAATTTTTTTTCCGAGTTCAAACTCAGGTGACTGGTGAAAGTCTGGTTTCCACACAAATTCAGCAGATTAAGGAGTTAAAATAGCTTGTTAACCTGTTTCTGCTAACTGCTGGCAAGAGGAAATGTAACACAGGTGTGTTTGATATTCACAAGATTAAAGCTTTTGTCTACCATCAAATGTTCACCACATTAAAGTCGTTTTAATGAGGTATTGGGAGATAATGAATGTAAGCCACTAATTCAGTGCAGCGGAGGCAGCCTGCCCCTGCTCTGACCCCGCTGCAGCCAGGTATCCAAACCAACAGATTAGTCACACTTTTACACCAAAAGATGTGTGCAGAATGGAACAGCCACTACCTGCTGCTGTCCTGCCCTGCTAAAAATGCATCTGGTTCAGGTGCCTTGAATTATCTGAAGCCTGACATCAGATATTCCCCGTGTGATGGCACCCATCCCTTATCCATTCCTTCAGGAGGATTATCTGGAGATAAAAAAAAAACCAAAAAAACAAAAACCACAGCTGGTGAGAGAAGGAAGGATTTTAATAATGTGTGTGCGTGAGGTAGGCAAAAATGGCTACAAATTAATACTATTTATGTTATTAATGTTATCATTTGTTCTGGTACTCAGAGATGTTCAGAAAGTCAATAGCTGGAGTGAATGAAGGTTGGAAAGGTCTCTGTGGTTCATCCAGCCCTGTACTCACTGCTCCGTGGATCCAACCCTCCTGCTAAGCTAAGGTACACTGCCTGTTTGCTTATTCTTAATAGAATAAGCTCCAAACAAAAATAAAATTAAGATCCTGAAAGGTTCTCCAAACCAGATTTATTTTGGCATGCATATGCAGGAAACTATGTACTGTAGCAAGTTTTAAATACTGTATTTGGACACTAATTCTCAACTGCCGTCATCAGTTTGCTGACAGCCATCTGCTTGGACCCTGCTCCTTCCTCCCGTTCAGCACCGTTAAAGTAAAATATTGACAGAAACAACTTCTGCAGCAAGAGTGGAAAAGTTAATAACATAACTGAAGTCACACAGGATTTTTATATTTTTTTTCCTCTAATGTTTTGCAGCTCTCCTACAATTTCGTTTTACTCATGGCTTAATTTAGAAGTGTCCCACCCCGGCTCAAAAATAGGCCGTTGTGTAGCCAGCTATCTATAGATGACACAGGTTCCTGAGGAGAGATCTGGAGCTGCAAGTGCTCCTGTAGAGTTCATGTGACTTCATGAAATGAGTGATTCACGTGCTCCTGGAGGAGCTGGGAAAAGGAGTCCTCGCAGTGAGGTTGTCACCGTGGCTGCCAAAACCTGCTGCAACACCAGCAGCAGATTGATGGGATTCAGATTTACCTGCAGAAGCATTTTGAGCAGTGAGGTAGGGAGGCTTTGCAATCCTTCCCATCATTGCACACTGCTGGCTCAGAGCTCTTGGGGACACCTGGGCACTCCCAGGATGATCCTCAGGCTCCTCGGGCTGAGATTTTTTTGTTCTGCACATGCCTTGTGATGATCCCCACGTTAATGAGTCTGAGATGTTCTACCTTCAGCTCTTTGTGTGAAATGTCATTAAAGCTCTTGCACAGGTCACAGGGCAATGCTCAATAAAAGACTTTGCCACTAATTATTTCAAAAAGGAAAGAGAACGTGAGCTCCTGTACACACACACACAGATATACATTCACATAAATAATTTATTTGTCATACCTATTTATAATACATGAATCTTTTATGTTTTATGGTGATACCATTGCAGTTTGCAGATTTACATCTCTTATTAAATTCCCCACACAACAAAACACAGTGCTATGGAAATATATAGCCCCACAAACTGATTCAAGGTTTCTAATCCAAGTGGTCTCACTGTCTGCAATATTCCTTTCTAAATTGTGCCATTACATCCCACAAATCGACTTGCAATGAAAGGTAATTTCTTTTTATTCTCTTACAGCTTTGTGGGAGAAAGGAAGGAGGAATCTATCCCCTAAAGAACAGCACAGCAGTTGTCAGGCTGAAGCCTCTAACATACACAACCTCCTCTGTGCTTCTCCAGACACAGACCCACCAGCCCTGTGAGAAGATGAGTGTGTTTACCACGTTGAAGAGATCAGCAGTAGATTTATTGGAGAGAGTAAAGCCTTTGGGCAGATGAGAAAAACTCTAAAAAATCCAGTTTCCAAGCAGGAAATTTGAGGAGTGATGCAGAGATCGTGACAGAAGCTGAAAACTGCATGCAGAGACAATACCTCAGCGTCAAACTTAACACATGGAAACAGCAACAATACATATTTTTGAGAAATGTTTTATATATTTGACCTGGTTTTTGTGGGTTTTTTTTTCCCCATAGAGAAAAAATAAATCAATCTTTTCACCACCCTGAGAGACTGCACTGACTCCCACTTCTTGCCTGGTGCACAGCCCTTGGGTCAGCTGTGGGTGAGGGAGGTGAGCCCCGAGCACTCTCCGTGCTGGGCAGAGTGGTGAGAGGCTTCTTCTCCTCTCCTATTCACTTCTACCATCCCATGTTCATTTTCCTCCCTCACTTTGGGATAACCTCCTCAAAACTTGCTTGAAAGTCCTTCCTCACAGTCCTCCAAGTGGTCAACAACTCCAAACCCCTTTATAGACCACAGAGCTCTGTCTGTCCCCATATCTCACGTGAAACACACAGCCAGAAGTCCCCACCCTGCACTACATTAAGCCCCAGATAAATTGTTTTCTTCTTTAAGCAATTCTCTAGGCTGAAAGGTGAGGGTTCACTGTGAAAGTTGGTATTATTTCAAACAGGCTGTCACATGTGTGGTGAGGATGGCTTACCAGTCTCTCCAGGCTACCTTGAAGATTCTCTTTTATGGTCTGAAACTGGAGGGGCTGCTGGAGCCTCAGAAAGCCACAGGCAGAAACCACACAAAGAGATTAAAGATGTGATAGGGAGAGGCAGGAGGAAATGCTCATTTTCTTGTCTGTATTTTTCTGAAGGTAAAGCCAACAGGAACTCCTGCACAGGTCCATGAGCTTCCAGAATGACCTTTGGAAGTTTCTGTCTGTTTGAAATTTGTTTGGAGGTTTCTGTCTGTTTTCCAAAGGAAAAAACACCACCAAACCCAAAGCAGAATCAAGCATGACAGGAAAACTTCACAAAGACATTGCTGTTGCTTTACTCAAGCATTTTTTCCTGCTCTCCATCTGCAAGGGAGTAGTAAAAGAGACACAACATAGCTTTGCTACCTCTGTGCACATTGGTGGAAGTCTGTAATATTTTTCTCAATTAAAATCCCTGGGAAATGTGGTAACATTTAGCTCAACATGTTAAAGAAGGTCTGCTTCCATGCTGTGCAGCTCCTTGTGACTTTTCCAAGTTCAGCCATTTAGAACATTTAAATATTTTAGAGCCATTTAGAAAACTGAGATATTTTAGAAGTCACAGTGATTTCTGAGACACTTTGGACTGAAGATGGCATTTTTTGGTTTTGAGTGGAACTATTTATTTTAATTTGCAAAGAAGTGTAGAACAAAGATTCTAGTGATCAAAATCCATGTATGATGAGTGACGTGTGGCAAATTATTTTGCTTTTGTAGCATCTTTAATGCAAATTAATGTGAGGTTCCTGAATATTTGACATGAGGATGTATTTATTAAAGTGTTAATAGCACAAACAAGCATCATTAAAGCAGGCAGAGACATCATTAAAGAGTTTATAGGAAAAAAATCCCAAGATTTCAGAATTGGATTAGGAACCTGATTTACCTGCAGGTAAATGAAACAATGAAAAGATAAATTATCAAGTGAATATCAAATAGAAGTGTTCAAGGCCAGGTTGGATGGGGCTTGGAGTAACCTGATCTAGCAGAAGGCGCTGGAAAAAAAGATGGTCTTTAAGGTCCATCCCATACCAAACAATTCTCAGGTTTTATGATTTTTATCATGCATTTGGGATAATAAAAGAGAAAAAAAACACCTTGGGAATCTTACAAACAAGACAGAATATGAAAAATCTTGTTGCCTATTGTGGTGTGGCAATATCAGAGAGGTTTGGACTCTCTGGTGTCCATCAGAGCTGTTCCAGAGGGGCAAAAGGCGTCAGATAATGTCCAGCTGCAGCCAAGGCTTGTAAAACACTGGCCACGAGTCCAATGCAAAAGCTGGAAAAGAGAAAAATCACTAAAGGTCTTTTCTATATATACATCCCAGGGAAGAGCAGCACTGTAACACAAACTGCTGCCTGGTTTGGAGTCTCTGCTGCCAGCATTTGTGTCAGCTGAACCTCCCAGGCTGACAGCTGACGTCACCAGAGAACCTACGAGACTTCCACCAGAAAAGTCACAGAAAAGAACATTTATTTCCCCAGCAAACCCAGTCCCTCTGCCTGACTGGCATATGTGAGAAATGCTCTGTGTAGCCTCCTCTGATTGTGAGGTCACACCTCCCTTTAATGAATTCCCTAAAAGTTTACAGCAAGTTCCCTTAGTGACACAGGGAGGGTTTCATTGATCTCCAGCCGGGGCTGTCATTATCAGAGGATGGGGTTCCAATTTCTGATTAATGAAAATTATAATTATGTACAGATAATGGGGAGGGAGAGAGAGATGTTTCCATGTTGCTTTAAACAAAGAAGAGTTAAGGCCTTATCTTAACTATGCATTGGCACTGCAATGCGAAATGGTCATGCAAAATTAATTTTTAATGTGTTCAATTTATATTAAAAATTTCTGCAAGTGTGTGATTTTTTTTTTTCTAAGGCTGGAGTGCTACTTCATTTACAATATTCCCTGAAGGTGTTTTTTTTTTTTTTAAAGAGACTCTTAAACTGAAGCCATTTTAAGGGTTTTATGAGACATTATGTGAGCTTTCATATGCAAGTTAGTCGTTAAGTACCAGATATTATATTCTGTAATATGCTTAAGTGATATTAGAGGCTGTATATAGCCTGCAGTAATGGCTATTGCTGCTTTTTTAATTTATCAAGAAAATGTTGCTTAAATAAGGAGCAAATCAGTGCTTGGGTGTTAGAAAATATAAATGTAAAGGAAGTAACAATATTGTTGTGACATATTTTGTGCTCTCAGCTTCACTGGGGAGCAAAACCAGTGTCTGCTTTCTCCTGCTCCTGATGACATACACGATAAGTCCCATATATCACATGCTGGATATATATAAAAAAAGAGAAATTTTACTAAACAGTCATTACTCCTCATGACTTCATAAGAATTTATATCATGCCTTTGTTACCTAGATTTTTAATTTTTTAAAAATCATATGATTCCTGGTATTCAAACAAAGTAGCAGCTCACATTTGGACTTAAAGGAGTGGAGACTTTGAATGTTCAGTCTACAAAGGGAAATGTTTTTGTTAAGCTGGATTCACTGGTCAAGCTATAAAAGACAAGAGAAAAAAAAAATGACACGGTGAACAAACTTGCTACTTTTTTCTCCACCCTCCCTCCTTTAATGTAAGAGGAAGGAAAAAAGAGAAAGCTTTGAGCTGACAAGTCTGTAGAAATGTAAAAGTCACTTGACTTTCCTTTCAAATGTGGCTCTTGCTCCTTGTCCTGACAGCAGCATAAAGTCCGTCTGTACTGTGCTGCAGAGGAGGGGAACACAGGAGTGTTTGGGACTGACAGCCCTTGGCAGTGACACCTCGTGTTGGCCACAGAGTCCCCCACCTGCTCCGACCCCTGTGTGAGCCCAGCTGACTGCAGAGCTCACTCTGCTCATCAAAATGTTCCTCCTCTAACCACGGACACCTCTGCTGTGCCCAGCTGCAAACTCCCGCTCTCAGGCAGACTTGTGATTGAAGAAATGTATTTCAAATGAAAAATAATCTTTTCCATTTTCTTCCCTTCTCCCAGCTGCTGATTCCCACCCTGATTCCTGTTCTGGAGCTGTGATTAATACTTTTTTTCTTCTTCTTCTTTTTTAAATCACATCATCCTTCTCTCTCTCTGCCTCTCCTCCCCCTCCTCTTCCCAGTCCTCCTCACAGCTGTGGATCCTCACTCCTCCTTCCAGTTGCCTCTGCTGCCGTCCTGCTCTCTTCCCTCCCCCAGCTCCCTTAAATATTTCAGAGGAAACTAATCCAGCTTCAGCCAGGCTTTATGGACTGCCTCTCCTCTTGTCTGCACTTATCCTCTCTTGCTGCCTTTGGGAGTAACAAGGCCCTGGGCACCCTCAAATCTCTGGAATCAGCCTCCTTAACGAACCCTGCTTGCAAATGACCATCAAGCTGGTCACCAAATGAGCAATATGGACCCAGCCAGTGCTATCCAAGGGACTTGAGGGCTCTGAGTTTCACAGGGAGCACGTGGGGCTCTCCAAAATGATTCCGTGAAAGCCCGGGATAAACATCTCCAGGCTCCCGCTGACGCCTGGGCTCCGCCTGCTCGATGACCTCACGTGGAGCGCTTGAAATCCCATGAATGCCAAAAATCAGTGGTCCAGAGGGATCCTCTTGGCAAGCAGGAGATGGCCAGTGAGCAGAGGGCCTGCCTGTGCTCCGGGGGAGAGGAGGTCAGGATGGGGTGAGCTGCTTTCCCTTGCAGGACAAGCCCTGCCTCGCACATTTTTTTAACGGCTTGTGACTACTATGAATTCTCCTCATGGACCAAAAAAACTTGGCCCAGGCCTCTTAACTTTACAGTAGCTGTCAGGAGAACCATATATTCACCAAAACACAGAAACATTCCCTCTTTCATCATCAATGAATCATCAATGATGGCTCCCCAGTTCAAGCACGAGGAAAACGCAGCAGTCCCCAAGGGCAGTGATTTTGGTGTCTCCAGCTCAGGCATGGGGATTTCCTGTGGTTAGAGGACAAGCTTATGTCATGATCTGCCCATTATCCCTTCATTGAGGTGGCTTTTGACTTTCCCTGGAGGTCTCCCTGCATTCCCACCTTTTCTGGCTGAGCAAGCGCCAGTGTTTTTGATGAAACCAAACTAAACCAACAGATAAAGCAGTAATAAATGGAATAAATCTCCCAACACTGTAACCACCTCCTGTCCCTGCTCTGCACTCTGCTCCCTCCCCATGATGACCCCCAACATCACTCTCATCTCTGTTCCACAGCCACTCCCAAACTCTGAGTTCAGGAGCCAGCATTTAACCAGCTTTAAGCTCTTTCCTATGGCCCAAACCATCTTTCCCTTTCCCCAAGGATGTCTCTGCATGGAGGTTTCCTGTTAATGTCCGTGTGGTCAAAGGGCAATTAGGCTTTTCTCCTGCAATTTGGAGCTTGAACCAGCTTCATCTGTGTTAGGCAACACAAGCATCTGCTTCTCCTCTCCCTCCCACCCCCTGCTCATGCACACACAAAGCCTCATTATATTAATAAAATATTTTCCCATCTTCACCTGATTAGCTGCCTGCACGTGCCTGTGAGCCCATTTTCCATGAAAAATGTGTGTGTGCATTTATACCCATACGTGCCAATGCACCTTCCCCTGATTATATACAAACAGATGTTTATATATAGAATGCATATTATAAATTTAAATTGATATGGGAACATAAATCTGAATAAATCACAGCTAAGCTGCAGCTTAAAATAAACATTCTGGAAAAAAATAAGCAAATAAACTTTTTTTTTTTTTTCATTTTGGCAGAATGTTTATTTATTTAACAACAGCGATGCAGTTGCTTACACTTTCTACAAATGTTTTATCTCTTCTTCCTCCGCACCTGTCCCTGAGTGAATAGAGCCACATCTGTCTCATCTTGGCATAACAAGTACACATCTACATCTGTGAAAGATGATTCCATTTTTGAAGGAAACACTGTCTACTTTTACACTCCTGCAGCCTGCTAGAAATTATTACACAATGGATTTTGTGTCTTGCAGGAAGGCTGCTAAATAGTGAATAGCGAGTTTGGAAGTGGTACAACAAAAGTAATGCCCTACTTTAACAAATAGATGGCTAGATAGAAATATATATTTATTCTAAACTTTGTGGGTGAGAGAGACCCACTGATTAATGTTACCTTCAGTTTACTCATTCTGGTGTAGTGGACTCAGTTAAAAAGCTCAGGAAATGGGAACTGTAGAGTGGAGGGTAATAATAGGCTAGAGATGCTTTCACCCATCAGCTGCCGTATCAGAACTCACATGAAGTTGATAATGACTGGGAAAATAGTTTAGTTGGGAAAATCCTTCCCTGTGAGGATGGTGAGGACCTGGCACAAGGTGCCCAGAGAAGCTGTGGTTGCCCCTGGATCCCTGGAAGTGTCCAAGGCCAGGCTGGACAAGGCTTGGAGCAGCCTGGGACAGTGGAGTCAGCACTGACAGTGGGCTCGTGGTTGAGAGCAGTCTGTCCAAGGTTATGTCGTTAATGACATTCAGTGGCTCATTAAATAAATGAAGAGCTGAGCTTTGGCTGATAGGGGTTTAATGAGTTAAAACTGTGAAATAGCCAAAAGCCTCTCTAGTGATACTGAACTGATGAGCAGCAGTGGTTTTGCCGCTCATCATTCTTTTATGGGCTTGACTATCAAAGCTGAAGTAAAAATAAAGGAAAGATGAAGCGTCTTGAAGTTCCTCTGTTGGATTTTCCTCACCATTATTACCTCCACTGCACCCAACAGCTCTTGTAGTGATATACAAAAAGCTGTAAAAGCAGTGCAGGAGGGTCATCCATCCATCCATCCATCCATCCATCCATCCATCCATCCATCACCCATCCATCTATCCATCCATCCATCTATCTATCCATCCCTCTGTCCATCCATCATCCATCCATCATCCATCACCCATCCATCCGTCCATCCATCCATCCATCCATCCATCCATCCATCCATCCATCATCCATCCATCATCCATCCATCCATCCATCCATCCATCCATCCATCCATCATCCATCCATCCATCATCCATCCATCCACCCATCCATCCATCCATCCATCCATCCATCCATCATCCATCCATCCATCCATCCATCCATCCATCCATCCATCCATCCATCCATCCATCCATCCATCCATCTCTCCTCACTTCTCACCTGGAGGGATAACCCCAAGAAGAACATTAATCCAAGGTGTTGCAGGACCCCTTCCCCCTGTCACAGGCTGTGTTTTGCCCTGTGCCAACACATTTGTGTCTGCTGAGCAACCTGATAAACAGGAAGACAAAGAAATTTCACTGTAAGACAAGGCCTGGCCAGGAAATAGAAACTTTTTTCTGTGGAAAAGAAAGCTGCCCGTAGTAAAATTTTCATCCACCACTTCCTGTCTCTTCCTGACTATTCTTCATCTTTTGTCAGCCTGGAGTTCTTGTGCAAAGTGTGAGAAGCCTTCATCGTTTTTTCAGCCACCGAGAGTCTCCTAATTAAAAAACAAAAGCAAAAAAAAATGCAGAAGTGACAGCATTATTTTTGAAGACAGCTTTTCTTTCACTATGTTGCAGGACAGACACTAGAAGCAACACAGATTCACTATTTCAAAACAATCTGAAATCTGCTCAGATCAAAAAGAAATCAATGTCTCCATGAGTGTGATTTCAGAATTGAAATATTTTATGGAGGAAAAAAATCCCAATTAGAACACATTATAAATTGTCATTAATTTAATGGTTTAAAACATATATAAAGATTTAAGAAGACATTGTCCTGGTAGCTGTATTATTCTAAGGTCAATCCTTAATAGTTCAACAATTAGGACTGATTTTCTTTTTAAGTTAAGTTTGGAAAGCAAAGCACAATTTGTCCTTCTGAGGTATTGAGGTATTGATACGCAGGTCTCAGATGCCATGATGTCCACCCCCTGCTTTTTTTTTTTTTTTTTGCAGTGTTTCATGTACTATCTTTAGGCTTTCTCAAAATCAGCTGCTTGATTTACCCATCCTTCCTGGGAATTTATGATTCATATCTTCCCTTCTTTTCCCTCCCCTCTCTTCTGCCAGACCTTTCCAACTCCCAACTGCTGTTCTATCTTCTACATTAAGCACCCCAGGCTCTGATGTACTTGACAGTGCCCTGTACTTTAAACACACACACAAAAGCACTCTGGTGATCTGAGATATCTTCCAGTGTGACACACATGCACCAGCCTCACACTCCAGACCGTTCACAATCTTAATTAATACCTCATATTTAAATTTTTATCTTTTAAAAACCGTTTTATTCTATTATTTTTAAAAGGGATGGGAAAAAAAAAAAAGAACATTGACAGTTATATAATGTGCATTATTTACTTAATAGCTGTTCTGGTCTATTGGGTAAATATATAGCCAGGCAGTTTTTAAAAACACGTATTACAGACCCAAGAGACCAGAGAGGCTCTGAAGCAGCTGTTCCAGTCTATTGGGTAAATATGTATTTAGGCAATTTTTCAAAATATGTTAAAACTCCTTCAGTGCCATTCTGGTCAATTGGTTAAATATGTATTTAGGCTTCTTTTATAAATGCCTTTTATGCAGCCGATAGACTGAAGGAACTGCAAGTGCTGAATATGTTTTCATAATTTTTACCTGTGGGTATCACTGAGAGTTGTTTCCTGCATTCCAGCTCCATCCCCTGCTGTCGCAGCACTGAGGGCGAGCTGGGTGTCACAGCCATCATCACCAAGAGCAAACACAAATATTCCCACACCTGGAATGACATTATTCCTTCTGATTGTCATCCCTGCCCACTCAAAGCAATGCTCTCCATCTATTTTTCCTCTCTGTCAGTGGACTGACACACTTTGCGTTGTGCTGTGCTGGTTAGGCTGATGGATATTTTTAAACCAGCCATGTTTTTTCAATAGTCAGAGGCACAAAATGGCATTTTGAAGCCCTGATGTCAATTCTGGGGTTGTTTATACAAGTGAAGTTTAGCACATGCTTAAATATGAGCCAGATCAGGGCTCAACCAACAGGACTTAAATTGCTTTATGATTAAAAAAAAAAAAAAAAAAAATATATATATATATATATATATATATATATATATATATATATATGCCTCCAAAATCTTTTTAGGTGTTCAAGGTGGTAGGAAAATCAAATCTGATGGCTGAGCTGTAACACAAGTTTCTTAAAGTCTTAGTGCAAAGTGGCTGTGACAGATGTGAGCACGCTGGGGTTTGTAGAACTTCTGCTGTATTTCAGCTGAAGATTTATATTTACATTCAGTTCTTTCAGAGTGAGCTCTGGTGAGAATTTTATACAGTGAGAGAAGGAGGAGCTGGGCTTAACTCAGTGGCTCAAGGAATCTTTTCCAGGCTTGTTTCTGTTAAACCACAGCTTTCAAGACAATTATATTTGCTCCATGGTTCCCTCTTTGCCTTCCCTCCCTTTATGGAGCAGACATCTCCACTGAGCTGCTGCTGTAAATTAATCCAAATTTTATTATTGCAAAAACAGAGCTAAATAAATATCTTCTTTTATCCCCACTGCATGAACTGACAGCATAAATTCTTTCTCAGTTTGTTCCTTAATGATAAATTATTAACTCTCCACGTAGAATCGATCATGTTCAGCCTGCGATGGTCTGTTCATCCACAGAATGTCTTCATTTTCCTGTGCTGATCATTATTTCAGGAAGAAAATTTTCATTATTTCAGGAGTGTCCTCAGCTTTCCTTGAGATCTGAGTTACTACTGGTAGTAGTTGGCTGGACTTGACTTATGGTAAAGTAACCTCTGGTGTTTTTATCCCACCTCTTGTTCCTTCAGGATGGGTTTTCATTCTCCTTTCCCAGCATAAATGTGATGTGTTACTCACCCATCCAGCTGTCAAAGAGATTGTTCTGTCTCGAGGATTTTCTGGTTTTCAGAAATTTTGAGATAGGTTATTACAAGTTATAATTTTCAGTTATTTTTATTAATTTTTTAATGTTTTTCTTAGCAACATTCTTAATAATAAAACCATTGTAAATATTTCCCTCAGTTGTGTTTAGAAAGGTGAGCTGGATGAGTTTGGGAGCCTTTGCCAGCCTTCATGATTTCTGTGATTCTTCTGTGGAAAAGGAAAGGAAAAATAGGCAGAAACCACATGGGAAAATGATGAAAACAAGTGTATGCTCACACAGGTTCAAACACAGGTGTAAATGCATATGGAGATGGAAATGAAAATTTGGTGTATAATAAAAAAATGCATATTCTAAACAGCCACCTGATAAACTGGAAATATTCCTGTTAAAGTCAGTGTGGACACTTTAATTCAGGCTAAGTGTAAACCTCTACAGACTGGAGTAAAATGATGTCACCATTTAAAATAAATCAACTGGTTTGCATTAATACAAGTTTAATACAAGTTTAAATCAGAGGATTTCTAAAAAAAACAAATGTGGAAAAATATTGATAAGATTTCTGACAGGGAATATTAATAAATGAAAATGTTGATAAGAACTCTGGATACATATGATGATTTATTGCCAAAATAAGTAACTTTATTACCCAAATTATTAGACCAGCTGTAATGCCAGGATAAAAATAACAGTGATGCTATGTCACTCACATAATTTCATAAACAATGATCAAATCCCATCAGAATAAGAAACATCTTGTCTGTCAAAGATTACGAGATGCTTTCCAGATCCACCAGTATATCCAGGCCTTTCCATTAATCAGTGCCACTGAGGCTTTTCTCTTTTGAAATCACTGAGCTGGATGCCCAGAGATGCTCTCAACAGGAACTGCTGCTGTGTAATAGACTCAAGCCTAAAATGTGATTCTATTTTTATAAAACAAGGATCCCTGCTGGCTTAAGGGAGTGCTGGTGGATCCTGTGCCCACATCTGGATGTCGAGTTTATTCTGTTGGAAAGGTGAAATTCCATTTTTTAATTATATTCCTGTTCACTGGGGTTGGTAGAGGCCAAAGGTGGTGAGTTTTTATTTTTTTATTCACCAACTTACTTTGTAAGTTATTGGTGAGGTTTTCCTTCTCATAGGATGCTCACATCCTGCCAGGAGAAATGTAGGTAAACTGTAGGAAGCTTCTGGGATAGCTCAGCCAAACTGCTGCATTTCTGCCCCTTTAACCTGTTCACGGTGTTCTCCTAGATAAAAAATGGAAGTACACATTTCTGTGGAAAAAAAAATAAAACAACATTACTGAGCCAAAGTGCTTAAAAATTAAAAAAAAAAATTAGAAAGGAAAAGAATTGAATAAAACCTATTAATTTAATTATCTTTATAATACATAAAGCATATAAAGAAGGAGGAGCCCCTGCTGCTACAGAACAAGAAGGTTTTTGTGCTTGTGTGTGGCAGCTCTCAGACAGGGCAGGAGGATGGGTTAACCTACCATCGCCATAATTTGGTTTGGCAATTTCACTGATCATAAGAATATTCTTATTGTATCAAAATGTGTGACAGCTTTGTGATGGGCACAAATGGGGGATGAGCTCAGACCCTGTTTCATTAGACTAAATGGAAATGTGATGTTTTCAACAGTCAAAAAATACTGGAGACATCATCAAAGCTATCAGTGCCCATCTCTCTGCAATCTCTGCTATGATCATTTTGTTCCCTTACCATTGATCTACTACAAAACTGAAAATTAATTTAAAGGAGGAAAGATCTTCAAATATTTATATCTGAATATTTGTGTGGGCAAAATGCAGGCTAAGCTAAGAGCCTGTTACACTCACCCAGATGAAAACTAAACCCAGAGCACTGGCCAAAGCTCTTAAAGAGTAAAAAAGATGACTTTGCAGTGGACATGAGGGTCAGCCCAGGTCTCGAGTTCTCCTTCCAGACCTGTGTCCACCTATGTTCTTTTCCCCTCTGCAAAACTTCTTGCCTCTCTCGCCAGGAAAGTTTACACATGCAACCTTTGATTTGTGAAGGTGTCACTTGGCCAAAGCAACCAGAGCCCAGATGGGAAAGAGAAAAATGGCTGAGGTGGAGGTGCAGGTGAATACACAGGGGTTCAGAGGAGATAGAGCACGTTGGGCAGCTCATTTGTCAGCTGAGCAGCAGCCCAGCCTTTCCTAGCAGACATTTACTTTGTTCCACGTGATATTAAGTAAATGTGATATCGTAAAACTGATAAAAGGAGTTGATCTATTGAAACTGGCTGGACTTGAGCCACTTCTGTACTCTGTCACCACCTGCAAGAGGAAAAAAATGGTCCTGCAAAATACCTGAGTCTGCCACTCTTGCTGTACTGGCTTTCCACTCAAAAGCACACACCAGTCTTCCTTGCCTTTGAAATATGAGTCTTTCTTTCCTTAATCTGCTCTGGACACCACTCACACCCTGAAGTGGATATTCTCTGTTACCATTCAGAGCTTTCCTGTGTTTCTCTGGCCTCTGCAGTGCAGCAGTGGGAGCAGAGATTCCTCCTCAAGATTTCTCTGCCTGGGGAGAAGAAAAAGGTCTTTCTCAGTAATGAATAACGTGCACACCCACCATCAGCACCGTCACTGCCTCAAGAGGAGACCAACAAGAAAGAGTCCACTGGATATGGCACAGTGCAGATCCACCTCAACCAGTGGGAGCAGTTCCAAAGGGGATTGAGAAAGGAAAACCCTCCTAGTGCCAAAAACTGCTCTCCCACTCCTGTCTGTGGCACAGATGGATGGATGGACTGAGCTCAGCACATCTGAGCACAAGGTTTCTGCCTGCAGGAGCTGGCAAGCCCCAGGCTGGGGTCACAACTCAACACTTCTCTGTCAGGGAGCAGAGACTCCATTCAGCTCTGTGGGATGCTCTTATGCACGTCCAGAAGCATAGATGTGGTTCTGGCAGGACTTTTCTCTTTCTAATTTTAGTAAAATATTTACAAGAGAGAGGTACTTCCTCACAGTACATCAGGCATTAGTCACTGATAAGACAGAACATAAATTCTGGGCTTTAATCTTACATCATATTATTCCAAAAACCACCTTAGCATGCAATGGTACCTTATAATATTAAATTTTAAAACCCCTCAACTTTTAGAACTGTCAGAGAGCATATGTTTACGGGAAATGTAAAATCAGACTCCTGATGCTGAGCCTAAAATTAGGTGACATTGTTTAAAATACCTTCAGAGTGCTTAATCTGATTTTTTTTGTCCAGTCTAAGCACTTGAAAACCCGATGAAAGGCATAGTTGTTTGATATATAAAACTTTAAGTATTTATGTCTCTAAAAGGCAAGTTTCCTTGCTTTTGAGAATTTTTCTCGCTGGGAAGGCTTCCAAATCCCCTCTCATGTAGCTTCATGGAATTTTCTCAGTTCTCATGTTTGCTCCTTCTCCACACCTCTTCCCCAGTGCAGAGAGGCACATCTGTCTGTTTTCTGCCTTATCAAGCAGACATCTACATCTGCGAGGAAAACACCACTTCCTCAGCTAAAAACCTGTATCTGATTGTGGTAATAAAGCACTACTTCCTCAGTTCAAAACATTCATCAGACAGGACCAATTACTTCAAATGACTCATAGCAACAGGCAAAGCAACGCTCGTCTTCGCGGAGCCTTTGAACTTCCACCGCTTCAAAGGTGTACTAAAACGTGGTTATGAGGCGATTGTCTAAAATTGCCAAATTACCAGGTTCCGAGCTCTGACATTTGTTATTCTGAGCCATGAGACAAAGGGAAGCAGTTTGTTCACCCACTGAGAAATAGGGAGTGAAACAAAAAGATATTTCCTCTAGGTGAAGAGAGCTCGTAGCGCGGTGAATTCTCAAACGCAAAACAGAAAAATGCTCTAAATTAGTCAAATAATATAATTAGGTGATCAAACAATACACGACAATAATGCAAAATGCAAACAATATGAGCCAAAGCTACTGAGGGAATTTAATGGGCTTTTAATCACATCCTGGAGGTCAGAGTGGCTCAAAGTGTTATTAATGGGAATCAAAGCTTTTCACCTTTAGGTCACCAACTTGGATGTGGCACAGGTTGGTTCTGACTGAGCATCATTTCCATCTGGTAATTACTGGGGGGCTTGTGGTCTCAGAAGCCCCATAGGAGAGGAATTTGCAGAATCCAGCACGAGAATGTGCATCATCTGCAGTGGGTCAAAGGGTGTCCAGCAGAAGTAAGATGATCCAGGAGAAAACACAAGATTATGCAGCTCAAAGCTCTTCTTTCATTAAACATTTCTGTGCCTTCTACTACTTCCAAGTAGTATTAAATAAAGTTCTGAAGTTATTGTCTAAAATTGCCAAATAATTTGTTTCTAATAAACCTGTTTCCGCTTTCCCTATGTCCCTGACGTTCATGGCTCTCTCCTGACAAGCACCATGCCCAACAAGAGTCAGCAGTCTAATTGGTTAATAGTTACTTTTGGGTGGGCTGATCCAGTCTCTCTAACTGTCATTATAATTAAATTAACTTTGAAAATTTAAGTTAAAGAAAAACCCTATACTGAGCATCAGAAAGTATATTATTGCTACCTACTGACACAAAGTTATTTAGGTATTTGTGATGCAACAGTTATTTTATCAGCAATCTTCCAATATTAAGACCAGGTTTAAATAAATATAGCTCTAATTCAGGAATTTATTTCTATTTGTTCCATTTTCATATCGAGACATTAAGTTTTAGTTTTTTAATTTTATTGATTTTTTACCTGTTTTCTAAACAATGAAGGTGATCAAGCACATATTTGGAGGAGGGCATATGACAAGTGACAAGGATTATTGGGTTTTGTTGCCAAGAAAGTTCACTGTCAAAATTTAGTGATGGGAGTGGCTAGAGCAAACACAAAACAATCTCATTCCCTATTTGGTATAATTGTTCAACCATATTTTCTTGCAAATATCTATATGTAAACAAGAAAATTAAGGTTCCATTAATGTTTGTCAATAAAACTGCTGTTTGTCTGCAAGTTTTGCCAGAAATATGTTAATGCAACTATTCAAACAGAGAAATGCAACAACAGAGAGGCAGAGAAAATACATTTCAAAATCCCAGTTGTCTCAGTGGAGGTCTTTTCCAGGCTAGAAGTCACTTCTGGCTTTGGTAGGAAGCCTACAGGCACTTCTTTTTATGAGTAAGTTACATCTGTTCAGGCACTGCACTTTCCTAACACCATACTTTTGTTTTTTAGACTGAGGAGCCTTCCAGTCTAGCAGCTCAGATGCTTGCATCCGTCTGTACCCTTTTGGGTAAATACCTGTCACTCTCTGCTCCACACCGAGACTCAGATTGTCCCACTGACATGCTGCTGGCTCTCCTCTGGCACACAGGACAGTGCCACCAGCCCAAGACTTTCCACATCACTCCAGGTAAGGAAACATAATCTGTCCCTGACAGTTTCTGCCTTTTCTTGTTTATTAAACTCAAAGGATCTCCAAGAGTGTTTGACGGAGCAAAGAAATGTGGATTGTCTGGTAAGTCCCCTGCTGGTTTCTGTGCCTGTGTCTTTGCTGGGCAGATTTGGGGGTGACTGTCAGCAGAAAGAGCCACACCTGGCTTTGTAGCCCTCTCTGATGAATTTTATGTGCACAAGGCACGTATTTTTTGTTTGTCACAATTCTTCCTACTGAACACTAATCCCTTTGCTCTCTTTTAAGCAGTCAAAGAACAAGCACTTCTGTGCAAAACTAGAGGGTCAGGTTAGCCCTGTGTCAACAGAAATGCATTGATCTCTCCAGGAATATGCATATTAAAAAGCAGTTATTCCTAAGAAACCATTGGTCACTCATCTGGAAGGACCAAGAAAACTTAGTCAAGGTGTGTGTCAGAGGTTTTAAACTGCCACTGCAATCTAGACTTATGTTAACTCATTTTTCCTCTGCACCATTCTCTATGTCAAGGCTCAACCTGTATTCTCCTGTTCTCCCAGAGCACCACACATCCACACTCATAGTGTCTTCATTGGTGGCACCCTCACTACTCCAAAAAAAGTTTTAAATCCATTTTCCCTTAAAAATAAGCTATTAACATCACCATTATTCTTAAATACTGTTGTCTCTCAGTTAAAGGGTCACCAGAGTGGGAAAGATGATAAGCTCATAAATAGCCCATAAACTGCCTTTCATCTCAGGACAGTGAATGAGGAGAACCAGAGCACAAACAGCTTTGGAGGAGCGATGTATGTTCTCCCTACTCAGATACAACTCTGAACGATGTTTCCTGTCAGGCACCCAGGAGCTGGATTTACGAGCACGTCAGCGCCTGCATTTCAGCTGAGGATGCCCAGATGGGGAAACCCTCTCACCAGCACCATGAAATACCCATCTGCTGTGTATTAATAATCCCCAGGGAATTATTGTTTCCTGCTGCCTGGTTCTTACAATTGGTGTTGGGAGGCTGGGATGGAGGAGCACAAACCAGAGTGGCTCTGGAGTGACGATGAGGTTGAGCCACCATGGGACAGTGTCAATTTAAAGGATGTTCTTTAAAAGCTCTAAAATAGTCCACTCTCAGCAGAAAGAATATTGAAAAGCTAAATGTCCCCTATGCATCCATTTGATCAAATAATACATTTATAGCACTATTATTATATCACGAGAAACAGTTAACTGAGACATGGCATGTAACTGTTAAAAATTACACACCAGCAAACATCAGTCAGGGACACTGAAAGGAAGAGTTGACGCTTATAAATAAAAAATGATGTAGAAATTAAACAAACAACCCATGGAGACTCTTTCAGGTTTTTTTCTTTCCCCCCCGTTTCTTATGTAAAACCACACAATAAATGGTCTTTGAGTTGCAGAGGTTTAATCTATGTGCAGAAAGGGAATTAGAGGCTGATTCAGGAGGTTTTTTTTTTTTCCTTTCCTTTCCTGGAGGCCTCTTTTTTATTTTCTTTCCAGGTATTGATCGTGAAAGTGATATCACACCAGAAGGTGCATTGATATGGTGTTGAGTAACAGAAAACTGCAAAGACTCCTTACAGTATAATCAAAGCTTCTGTCCGAGCCCCCCACTCTGATGAAATCCAATCAATAGGGACGATTAAATGACACATACAGAGCCATCAATATTAAATACAATCCATTTCCTGTACAAGAGCAGTGCAATGTAAAGTGGACAAGATAAAACTTGAATAGGCAGGTTATTTACGATGCTTGTACAGTATTTAAGCAGTGATGAAAGTTGGGAGCATTCATGATTTGCATATTAATCAAAAAAGCAAGTAAGGTTTTCAATGCACATAAAATAGAGTTTGGTGGGCTTGCAGTGTTTCCAAACAATATATTTTTTAAAGTTATTTTTGGAGGGGCAAAGTCAGAGAGGAGTCAACTCCAAACTAAGAAACTGTAGATTCTACCATCTCTGATTTTAATGAGCCATTGGATTCTTACAGTGTTTTTTCAGTATTCCACACCATTTCCCTGTTGCAGCAGAAGAAGGGGTTTGAGATAATTCATTGCAACTTTAGTCTGAATTTTACCTCCACAAGTGAGAAAGAGACCACCAAGAAGTATCACAATTTCCCATCGTGAGCAAAAATGCAATATTGGAAGGCACCTTAAGGACCACCTTGTTCCACCTCCTGCTATGAGCAGGGACATCTTCTGCTGGACCAGGTGGCTCCAAACCCCAACCAGCCTGTGCTTGGACACTTCCAGGGATGGAGCAGCCACGGATTTTTGGATCTCCAATGGCTGTTAGGGTTGCCAGAGGGCTCATCAAAGGAAGGTTTTCCTCTGTGGAATTCCCTCACTACCCTCAGAGACATTCTGTGTTGTCCCTGGGCTACGGGGAGTCCACCAGCTGAGATAAATTGTTTTTTGTAAACTCCCTGCTCTTCTCTGCTGTGCCAGCCAAAATGCTTCCACCAGCTCTTAGAGAGTCCAGGTATTACAAACATTCAAAACCACCTCTAATAAACCTGGTTTCCTTCTCACACATTTCTTCACACCACAGCTTCACAATGTGCAGGTGGGGAAATGGCAAAATTAGGGATTTACTCTCAAAAGCAACAAATTGATAAAAATACAGAAATAGATTAAAAATATGGATCTCCAGCAAATCAGGCCCTGAATCAGACTGTCTTTTGTTCTAGAAAAGTAATAGCAAGGATGAATGAATTCACCTCAGAGGGAAAGAGACAAAAGGAGCAGCAGATTGGTAGAAAGGTATCACTATGCTACCCCTGAGCACACTGTTCTTTGCTTTTCACACATGAATCCTCATCATATTGATTGATAAATATTTTCTCCTTTTTTAATGTCAATTCATTCTTTTTCAACATTAAACTTTCACAGTATCTTTGAAGTGAACAGATAAAATTCCTTATCATCAAAACTTGCGCTGGTTTTAGTGGAAACCTAGAAGGACTGTTGACAAGTTTCAAGCTATTCATGTATTTATGTCCTTTGTTATACTGGGCCATAACTGGGTTTGGTATCTTCAGGATGAAAACCCTTCATCTTAACACAATTTTCAAGGATTTTTTTAAAAACTCCTCAATAAAAGTTTTATAGAGAAAGTGTGCCTGAAAAATGTTCTTGGAGATGACACTACTCTCTGCCAGGACACTTTCACAAATACTGTGGGGACAGCAGGTTGTTTGCCAATGAAAAGCTACTTTCTCTTGACAAAATTGAAAATTGATGACAAAGTGATTGGGTATTTCTCAAAATGCTGTCAAATGTAATGACATTGGGTGTGTTCCAATTAGTTTTGTAGGCTTTCGAGATGCAGCTCTCTCTCCTTGCCTTCTGTGTAAAAAACTTTGTGGCGTGAGTCTGGTCTGCTGAAGGACAGCTAGAGTTGCTACAGCTCCCAGAATTTGCTAGGGAATAAGGCTGCACTGACACATCTAGTCTGGACTAAATAATCAACTTTCACTTTGCAAAACTCAAGCTTTCTGGTCCGGTTTGGTGCGGCGTTATTCGCACACAGCGCAGGTCCGTGGGTCACGTTGCCACTAAGAGTAGGGGGAATTTGCTGATAAAATAACTCATTATCTTTGGCCAGTAATTAACCACACTCCTATAAATTCAGAGGGGCCATGAGGTGCCTAGGATGTGGTGAGGACCCCACCAGCAGGAGAAGAGGGGAGAGGGAAGCCAAAAGCTCCAGCAAAGTCAATGTGTGTCCCCTTTAGGCTGTGGGAGCTGGAAACCAGGATCTCCCTCTCTCCCTCCTGTCTGAAGCACAAATAACATAAAGCTGGGATAGGATTGATACGGAATGCTACATAAAATGTTTGCTTATAATTATTTCTAGCACCCTTTTGAAGCTTAGGGATAAAACATTTCTAATTATTCATCAGGCCGTTGGAACTCCTAGGCCTCTGTAATAGAGATTTAGCAGAACAACAAATAGCATACAGGGATCCAGATGAAAGGAGTGAATTTGAAGGGATTATTACCATAAAAAAAGCAAATGACTATTTGATGGAGTTACAACAATACAGAGAGTCAGACAGGGATAGAGAAATAATGCTAATTGATAAATACATAGCTGCTTAAGCTTTAATTTGAGCTGTGGAAGAGTTGTAAAACAAGTGATACCTGTAATTTCCTTTTTAAAAAAGATCTCTCTGTTTGAAATGCATATAGAAGGAAAACCCCTCAAATGCAGCTTTTCTGCCCCCCTCCTCCCATTTTCACCATATTACAGTCACAAGAAGTAATTCTTTTAAATACAGGACCATGAAATTTTTTATGGTCTTGGCTGGCTTACAGCTGCATGAAGATTTGCTCCCCAGTTTAGGATGGGAGCCATGACATCTTCTGCAGGATCCTGTGATCTGCTCATGTAGGAGCCCCATGGGCCACAGGGAGCAATAGGCATTCAAGGAATGAAGAAGGGATTTTGTCTTCACTACCATATACCACAAAATCACTGCCTCATCTTAATCAAAGCATTGCAAAGTAAAAGGCAAATCATAAAGAAATGGTAACAAAACATCATTGAAAACCCCCAAAGTCAGCAAAAGCAGGATTTTTGAACCATCTAAGGTGCAGCCATTCCTACTCTCTCATTTTTTTCAATAGAACAGACAACCTTTAGGCAGTTTGTCTTAAATAAAGACATATAAAATGGATAAGTGGAACCTAAAACACAAAATAGGATAAATATGCCATATTCAGTGCTGTTATAAGCAACATCAACACCACCACACCAGTGATTCCACACAAAAATAGTTTTTTTTGATAATTCATAAGCTGTCATGCCTAAAGGAGGGAAGGAAACAAATCTGACTTTGCAAATACATGCAGAAAAAAAAAAAAAAGAAGAAGAAAAACCTCGAAAAATCATGGATAGGAGACTTACCAGCTACTCTGCAAGCTGTGTGCTTCTTTATATCACAAATACTGGTTTAAAGGGCAAAGGTATGCAAAGCAGATGGATTGTGCCTATCTCTAAATCAGAATTTCAATGTAAGACGTTTTTCAACAGCTCAATAGAGTGGCTTAGAAGCTTTCTTCCTCTCCTTAATGAGGGGGGTAAAACGGTAAAACGTTAGCATTATAAATTGCAGCTTAGAGAAATTATATTCAGACTTTTTAAAAAAAAAAGAAAAGGAAGAGAAAACCCGTATGCTCTAGATTAGCAGGGGTGGATCGTCTTGTTGAGACTTGTGCTGCCAAAGCCTATTAAAGTAATTCACATTTTATACACAGACATTACCATTTTCTCTGAACTATAACGTCCTTGGAGCATTACTCCGCAGAGACATCCAAAATCCACTTTAGATGGGGCACAAAGGCACAGTTTGAGATTTACCTGTGTGACTTGTCTCGCAGGTGACAAGCATTAAGGAAGGAAATCTACACTTCTGTCAGATAAGCAGGAATTCCTGGTTCCTTAATTCACTTGAAAAGAAAGGATAATTACCTGAACTAAATTTCTGCGCCCATCTCAAATGGACTCTAGGGACAATCCTGCAGATTAATGCTCTAAGAACATAAGATTCAGAAAGAGAACGTAGGGATGTATGAAATAGGATCTCTTTTAACAACCTGGATCAGAAACTGAATCCTGAACTGAGGGGAGGGAGAAGCAGAGGAAGGGGCAAATCCAGTGCAGCATTAATGCATTCTGCTGCCTCGGCAGAATCAGATTTTGACCATAACAATCACAATTATTTTTATAGGCTCACTTTTTTTCTCCACATTCTGATGGATCTGAGATATTTCCACGACCTGAATGCTCCAGACAAGATCCTCAGGTGATGTAAATTGGCATTGTTTCTCTGAAATACCATCTTTCACATCCACTACAGCTTTTCTGCTCATCAGCAGTATCATAATCATCTGGTAACATTAATTAATTTTCCCCGTGTTTTATGCAATGCTGCCTCTGCCTCCTCCCCGCCTCAAATTGTTTTGATTTTGTTCCTTTTTTTTTTTTTTATTACTGTTATTGCTCCACGTCTGCTAAGTAAATCTGCGGCGTGTTACTTTAAAAATGAAATAAAGCTTGTGTTCATAGTGACAGTCAATAACACTACAGCATTATAATCAATTGCTATTTGTAGCAGCAGGACTAGCAGTGGGGGCAGATCAGTGCAAATTACTGTCACTGTGTGCTGCCGTGTGGTGCAGCCAGCCTGGATCACGGGAGACAAACCATCCCAGATCCAGTGGGAGCACAGGGAGCTCAGTCACACCTGCACAACCCCACAGCCACGCACAAACACGAGGGGAAAGTGGTTATGATCCTGCAGGATGGAGAGGGAGGAGAAATAAATTAGATTAACCCAGTTGTGCTGCTGAGATCCAGGGCTAAATGGTCCTGCTTTCATGATGGGCTGGAGAATGGAGGATTACAAGTACCCAGGGATGTACAAAAAAGGTTGGATGTCTCTGTTGTAGTTTAAACTGAGGGTTTGTGCAGACTCCTGTAAGCCATGGGGGTCTTCAGTTCAAAACACCTGTTAGTATCAATAATAATGCCAAAAAATGAAATATAATAGCTCCCCCTCCAATCTTTCTGTAGAAGCAGGAATGTTTGTTACTGCTATAGATCACAGTGATGCAATTTTTTGTCTGTGTTTCATCCGAGGAAAGAGATCCAGGCTCTGATCTCAGTGGGGGAGAGAGCTGTTATCTCAGAGCTGGGCTCTGGGAGCAGCAGGTCAGACAGGTAATTTTAAACACAGAGATACCCAATTCTTTGTGTCTCTTCACCTTTCTCCTCCATGAATTCGGCAATTCATTAGGAACCCCTGTGATTAGGGAGAAACGCTAAGGGTGTTTAGTGGGGAGAAAAGAAACCTGGTGCAGATCAAGGTCACATGCTTTGGAAAAGAAAGCCTTGGCTAGCAATCAGTGTATGGTTATGAAATTACATCTGATTACCTGGCTGGAGGGTGATTTACTCATTTGGGAGGCTGCACTGCAAAACCCAGCCCCTTGTTCATCTTTCCAGCAGGAAGGGGAAAGGAAAACCCGAACTCCAGGACACCCCAGCTCCTCACACACCCTCCTGGAGAGGGTGATGCAGCAGCAAGGCCAATGCAAACACTGAGCTCACTTCTGGGACTGCTGCAAAGGATGACAATTTATTGCCCTTTTTAATGATAGAGTTTGTGATATGCGCACTTGCCAACTGGGAACTGGAGTGAGATCAATGAGTTATTTTACATAGGTCCCTGTATTCTGGGCCAGAATGAAACTGTTGACCTAGAGGTGAAAGTCTCTAATTTTATTTCTAGTCCCTCTGAGTCATGTAGTCACCAGAAATAACACTGACAGCAATAAAACCAAGCAAACAAACAAAACTAAGCAAACATCAAATATAAAGGGAAAAGGGCTTTGCCAAAGAGGCTCAGCACACGTTTTGTGAGATGCTGTAATCTTTGACAGGGAAATCTGGACCATAAAAACCCCTCTCTCCTGGAGCTCAGTATTCTCCTCTGAAGACAAATGTTTTATAATAAATATTTCTGTGCCTGTGGAGCTTTGTGCAAAGTCGGACATGATATTTTTGGCAATATCTGCGTGTCAGTAGGAATCTGAGAAAGTGTCACATACTGTACTCGAGCTGGCCGGTTGGTGAGAGCCATGGGTTTGAATTTACATGTCACACGTGTGATGGGCTGAGCAGAGCAGAGCCAGAGAAACAGGAACATTTCTTCTCTTCAGCCTTTTCATCCATTTTAATCCATGAACCTGAACCACAAAATTCATGTAAAGTTGTTGTATCTGAATTCACCTCCCTACTGCCAACTCTCTCCACCTTCCAAAAGCACAGAGCTGATGCCCTTGTATATTTTTAGATCCAACATTTCTCCTGTTTAGCAAAATCAGAACTGCTCCTTATTATTATTACTACTAATATTATGAATAATAATAATAATCATCATCATCATGATGGATTTTTCACTATGCCTTTAGAAGGTGGTTTCCAAAGGAAATTTCTATGTCTATTCCTGGCTAAGAGGCATAATGGTTTGGGAAAAATAATCTTCCACTCAAAGGCAGTTTAACTTCCAATAAGGACTTTTTGGCTCACAGGTTGTTAAGGAAAATTGCTTCGTTTTGCAACTGTAATTCCTATATTTAAATGAATGGGATTTTCCTTAAGATAGATTTGAAGTATGGAATTTTCCTTTGTTGGACAAGAATCAATGGAGTGTTTGCTGCTAATTAAACCAAATAAGTTAGCTGAAAAGGAAAATGAGTTGATTTTGAAGGAACTTCATACTACAATTGCAGTTTTGAGTAGAAGAGAATTTCATCTAATTTAATGTTTTCCCTTAAATTTCAGGGTTTGTGCTTCTCTATTATTTTGAAGACTATCAGGGATCCCTCCCTGTTGACCTAAGTCACTCAACATTATGTGATCTGGGTGAAGGCAACGGGGTTTGGATTAAACCTTTACAGTCTGTGTTTTTTAAGGTCTCAGACAGCAAAGATTCAGCACTCACACACCCTGAGATCAATCAGTAAATTCAGAAAACTGGAACACATGCACCGAAATCACCACATTCTGTAGTGACAAAATATTTTGCAGAAACAGGGCTGTGATGCTGTTAGTGGCTTGGTTTGACCTGATTTTCCTCTACACAAACAGAAAATGTCAATGGGAGACGCCGACAGCAGATTTCGTGGCTTTGGAATTTGATATTACTATGGATTTTAAAACATAAGGGGGAAATGCATAACAGCAAATGAATGCACTGCCTTATTTTTAACCCGTTCAGCAATTAACTGATTGTAATATTCAAATATTGCAGATCACTGCGGAGCACAAATTGAATTCTTAATGTTTCTATACATTTTATACCTCTAAACTCACAAATTGATAATTATCTGAAGAAAAAAAATTACTGTGGTGAAATATTCTCACTTTTGTGAAAATATTCTTTGTGAAAGACTTTTGGGTTAACTTTTTTGATTTTCTGGTGTTTGGGGAGTTCTGTTGAGTGACTGGAGCTGCAAAATTAATAAAAATACATATATATTTTTTTGCAGTGGGTAGTGTCTTTTTTTTTTAATCTATTTTGAAGAGCATAACCACTGGGATAAACCCCACAATAGTATCCTTAATATTATTAAAAAAAAAAAAAACCAAAAAAACCCAAACTGTGTATTTTAATTAGCTTGAAAGGGTCAAATGGCAGAAATAAAAAATCACCTGTGATACAAAAAGTCTGGCTTTTATAATGATACAGAGTGTAATTCAATATATCTGTTTAGATATTGACCTTCTGCATTATTAATGGCTTTGAAAAGGCTACTGCTGTCTTGCAACTCTGGAACAGGTGGAAGCCCCTGGAAAACCACCATTTATTGGTTTTTGTACGCCAGATTACTTTCCAACTAAAACCCAATGCAGATGTGTTTGCAGCCTGAATGTAAGAGGGAATCTTCATTTTTGTGGTTTGGTTGTTTTGGTATTTTTTTCTAAAGCTCCTTCACTAATTCTTCCCCCTCCTAAAAATATCCTATTTTGAAAGAAAGGTTAAATTTCCATTAAAAGTAGCAATTTTGTATTGTAAAAGCAGTTCATTTGGATAGGAGACATTTGGAAATCCCTGTCCAGCCTTCTGAGTAGCCTTCAGCTTCAGAAAAATCCTCATTTATCTGAGATATTTGGTGTCCCAAAGTTCCTATTAGGCACCTGAGATTTTCTGATAGGTAGCTGAATCCCTGATTACAGGGCAGTAATCACAACAAAAATATTCTCTTCTCTGTATTCACCTTTCAACAACATTTTTTGTGTTAGATACATGCCCAAATGTGATCCCAAAGCAGAGCACAGGGCCTCCCACACTAAAGGCACCAGAAATACTATAAATGCAAATTTTGGTGTTAGATTTATTTCCTTGGTATTTTTTTCTTTTTTCTTCTACCAACAATTAAATTCTGTTCTGTTAATAAAGAATAAATATTCACACATCACAAGGTATACCTGGTTGGGCAACAACTTCAGTATTTACCTGTTTTTATTTTCAGAATGCTGTTTTTATTAATTCCCATAGTAAAAAAAAAATAATGATGTTTCTTGTCTTCAAGGACTTTCAGAAACATTTCCCATTAGATGAGCTAAATTTTAAGATCTTATTTCCCCCCCAATTGATGTATATATCAATTATACAATAGAAAAAATTGAAACAACCATAACGACATAGTATTTCTTTGCTGCTGTGGAAAAATCAGTTAAATATAAACCAATATTTTACCAAATCTCTTGTGAATATTTCCCCTAAGGGCCAGATCCTGTGTGACTTTCAACATAGCAGAAGGAATTTATGTGCAAATCAACCATCAAGCATAAAACAACAATAGAGATGAGAGAAAAAACCCCAAAGAAATAAATAAAAAAGAACAAATTTCAAATATTGTTAAAATTCTAAATATACTATAAGAAAGACTGCAAAACCCCCTGTTTATATAGATTTTCCTATAGTCCTTTTACTGACATTTTTGAAAGGCAAA